GCATTTGTCTTTCCGTTTGTGTTAAGTGTTAAGTGATGGGTACCCACAGAAAATGAGTTTTGTTTTACAGATGTTTACTCTGAAGCCATTGGGTACCCGAAAGCAGACTTCCATTCACTTCCGTCAGTTTTCCAGCTTCGGAGCAACTCTTGTTTCCAGGTAAGCTGGCAAGTGATTCCTAGTGTAAACGTTACTTTTATGTTCATCGCTAATGATTTTATGTTATCGCAGTTAGTATGTTTATGGCAGTGAAGCATCGGTGTTGAGCACTGATGTCGTGCTGTTGATGGTGATGATGAGTTAGTATGTTGTTGTGGTACGTCCATTTGAGAGCCAAAAACCTGTAAAAATGAGAAAAAACAGGCACAAAACTAACAGCCAACAAATTACTGCTCATACCTGTTCCTTCACGGGCTTCTGAAGGCAATAGAGATAAGCATATTGGACGATAGAGAGGGTGGAAACAACAGAGAAGCCAAATCTCTTGGTAAGTGGACTTTGACGTGAAATATTTCCAAGACTTAATCAGACACTGTACTACAAGTGTAATCCGGAAACCGGTGAGCAAGTAATTCATGGACGAAACGCGAAACAAGCGTGTCACGCACTTCCAAAAGTTTTTCAACATGGGAGAGTGGATAATGTGCTTTGCTAACCAACAGGTGCATGAAACGTTCTTATCACTTACAAGCTCTGGTCACCTACAAGTTACTGGACGAGTTTCGTGATGAGGGAATTGCAGAGTTGTGTGGCATTCTTTTTTGGTCCATAGGTGATGTTATTAAAGATAGAGTTGTCAGCAACCTTTTGAGTAGCGTATTACGTTCATACAATTGATTGCCATACTCAAACATCGTACCAACTGAAGCATGAGGCGACCTGGTACAGCCCATTCGGTTGAAGAACATAAAGTTGATGGAAACTCGAAGACTGCGCCTATCTCGTGAGCTTCAAGAAGAATGAAACCGCTCGGGGGCTGTCGAAGAGTTTCCAAGATCCTTGTTTCATTTGAGTCAAATGCTCGCTTACTCGAGGGTTTAACTAGTCATTCTCTCTGCATGCTTCTTTATCGTTAAGGATCTAGTCCCTGCTGAATGAAACTCCATCTGGTTGAAAAAAGCTTCAGGATGGAGAACAAGTGATCTGCGGATTGAGCCTACAAAGTAGTAGTAAAACCAGTTCCAGCAATGTTCTGAGATGCGACCCATGAGGCTGCGGTATCACCGGTCTGTTTCATCAAACACTAGTGCACCTTGGAGACACTAGCAGCCACTGACGCTGCTACACCGGTCCATTTGTCCTCAAACTTCAGCCTGAAACTTATGGATTGCCATCTGTTTTGTTGGCCTTAATTTACGCACATTATCGGCAGTTGAATTAGAGGAAAAGCATGCTACTGTGACTGCCAGTGTGCGTATTTAGTCATATTTCGTTGTGCAGGAAATCAAACAAACTCCTTCAAGGCAAGATAATGAAGAATGGCCTTCACAGCCAATCATACAAGGAAATATCGAAATATGGCTGTTGACGTAGGCAAGTTAGAAAGGCATGAATTTTCTATTAGACAATTAGATTCAGAACGACTCTGCATCAAACGGAGAATAGCGATCACCGGTTTTGCCGATCCCTAGTCTAGCCGAATTCCTGGTGGAAGATCTGTGTCATTTGGCTTCAGAATGAGTTGTTTGACCAATAGGTTGAGTGCGAAACGGAAGCTTTTCCACTTAGCGACCGAATAGAGCAAACCCAAAAATGCATTTTCTACAGAGTTTTGTAACGACATCGCTTAACTCGCGCTATATTCATCCAACGAATGGAATGTAGGAGCCTCGAAAGCTGTTTTGCGACGCAGTTACTTACCACTAGTGGGGATTTTCTTGCAGCATCAGGAAATTATCACAGTAAATGACCGGAAACGAGCTGTATCTCGGATAAGTATCAAATATGCACTAGATCCTATTTCTCGGTCTCAATTGAGTTTCCGTGGGATATCGAAGTACGGGCCGAAAAACTGGATCTCTCAGGCACTGATATCGTTTTAGAATCGCGAAGACATGGATAAAACTATCGATTGGGGTGGGCATAACACGAAATGAGATGGCTAGAGTCACTGCTACTGTTCTGACACTAAAGCAAGTGGTCCCAGTTCGAGCTCAGAGCCGTTAGTGGTTTTGTTGAACAGCTGCTGTCAGTAAATCTTTGACGACTCAGAGTCCACTTTCAAGGCTTTGTCAACCCGCATTTCGGCTTACCACTAGTATATATTCTTCAGTAACCTACTAAACTGGATTGCCCGTGGTTGTGGTGGAGTGTCTCAATACAATACAAGAACGAGACGAACTGGTCACTACATGACTTGCTTCTAACCGCTTTGTCCGAATCCATAACTCAATTCACTGGCGCAAGGCAGAAACCAAAGTCATCGATCGACTTACACAATGCATCGTGATTCGTGGATCGTTGGAACGACAGCGCATGTGTTCATCGGACAGTGTGTAATGGATGAGCGGCGGAGGTGGCCCATGAACAGTTTACCAGAGGAATGCCTGTGCTTAGCAGGCATCCTCCGAGGATTACACGTAGGACCTGTGCTTCAAGTGAAGTTCTTCTATATACTGCCATTCTATTCATCTCCGAGACAATCACCCAAGAATGGCTTTTAATGTCATTTTGCTAAAACAACCTGGAGAAGTCAGTGCGACATTAGAGCAGGTCAGGTACCTAATTGGGTCACTGCTAGCATTGCTAGCGTTGTAAGGGAACACACGTGCAAGAAGAACCTCACAAGTAAGTTTGAGGTCGATAAAACGTCTTCTGTCGGTGACAGTTTGACACAGGACCTAAGAGCGGGTCAAGTCAAAACAGCGCCTTCGTAGGTCGTCAGTCGTGAAAATCCATCGATTCAATTTGGTTGAGAGTGTACGGTACAGATACAAGACGGGAATGCAAGCTGCCGGCCACAAGTCATCAGGACAATGGACAACACTGTTTAACGCCGATGAACAAAATAATGAATGACACTCAGCGCAACTGAAAACTCTGAAATCACAATGTTTCTGTCTGAAAAGACAACGAAAGTGATGATGGCTTCTGCTGGTGAGTGGTCTGTCCTTAGACGGAAAACCCCTGGTTGAATAATGAGCCATCCTCTACGGATAACTTATCACCATCGCGATGACCGGTTGACCAGATCCGCATGGGCTAAGACGGTTCACAAGGATCGCTTAACTTATTCTTATATACTAGAATCTACTTGCATATTCTCCAACTTGGGTTTATTTTGCTTTTCACACTAATAAATTAGGATATAACAACGATACAGCGTTTTGTCATGCTGTCAGGACAAACAACTGGCTAATATCGCCTAAACCGAGAGGCGGCCGACCCTTGACTTGACAGAGGAGTATGAACGAGATCACGAAACGCTTGGGTGCTGTCGGTGCTACTCGACTTCCAGGATGGCAAACCGCGTGATCCTCACTGTGTCTGGTTGGAGACGCTACAAAATATGGCTGCCAACCGATGTCAGTGGCATTCCTGTTGTCAGTTTCTACCCAGATTACCTGAATGAGCGTCTGGAGGTATGAGCACCTCGGAATGATTGTGGTAAGCTAGCACTAAGTCCCTTCCCCGTCCACCTTTACTCTTTTCTTTACAATAAGGCTTTCAAATAAATCATGGTTGTAGGGCAGTGAAGAATTGGTGTTGAACACTGATGTCATGCTGTCGATGATGATGATGATGATGATCATAATGATGATACCGCACTGAAGATAGTACAGGGCTTTTCAAATGAACTGATAGACGATGAACAAAGGGAGTGCTGCTTCCTCATGAGTTATCGACTCGCCAGTGTTATCCCAAACAACACTGTGCGCTTATTAAATTATGCATTTCATCGATCGATTAAATCGATCATTTCACAGAGTGTTAAATTGGGTTCATTTGCTTGCTCACTTAATACGCGTGTGCAGATCAACGTACCACTTCTGTTGAGGTCATGCATAGAGTTTGGTTATGACCAGGCACTGAAATTGTTAGAAATTCAGGCCACTTTGTCTCACAAATGGTTATTTCTATGAAGTTGCGGCCTCCGTTGAAAAAATATGGCTCCTAATTAATCTACGATCGAATCTAGAGGTGGTACTTCAACGGAATCCTAAAGTTCCTGAACGAGAGGTAGCGAGTCAGCATTGGTACACTAGTTCATAACTTCAAGTTCTACTCTCTACACTGAAATCCTGGACGAACTCAAGCGCACACTTTTATCGAACAGTCGATTGTGGAGCAACTTCCACAGTCATGCCAATGGGTGGAGGAGATTTACTCAAATGTCGCCAGTCTTTCGGAGCAGTCTGTATCCGAGACTTTCATATGAGTAGGTAAAACAACAGTTTAGAACCTGGAATATCAAGCAAAACGGGTTCATTTCAGCTCACCATAATTCACGTCATCAGTTTTAGGAAGGTTTGACTATGGAAGGCGATTAGGCCTTACTTTATTGCGTTCAGTTGAGCAAAACTTGGCCGATCACACGGCCTTTTGGTTACCATCTTTCGTTACCACACACACACATACAGGTGCAGTCCGCTTGCTGATTTCATCTCGGCAAATCGAATATCAAGCTGTCCGAAATACGATAAGAACGCACGAACCACCCACAGACACGCAAACCAAAAGCTGATCGGAACAACTCATACCGGCTGCCCGAAAGCTGACAAAACGTTTCACATCAGGAGTTGTAACCCAGAAAAGACCAATCAACTGTAAACACTGCTACGGTGGGCAAAACGAAACTTCGATGCAATGGTGATCCTGCGGTTTGGAACAAGTGCAACACACGATGTGGAAAGTCAAACACACACGATGACCAATTCGAATTAAGATCTGTTGATACTTTGGACCGGAATAGGTAAACGGTCATCACCTGGTAAGAGATGCATAAACACCCAATGATACAATGAACAAAACAATGAGAACTGTGGTTAATTCAAGCTTACCGAAGTATCCGCTGCTGCGACGGCATCATCGATCTCTCTGTGAATTGCGGAATAAAACATCGATTAGTAAACATGCTATCGGGCACAGTTTAATTGACTGACCCATAGTGTGGATCTCAGAAACTCAGTCAGCATCTTATCAGGGTTCTGACAACACTGGTCAAATCCCCTGCCGGTTGAAAGGACTAGGGACTGTGTGTATAAAATTAACTGCAACGATTGCGCTAAGGTTTATATAGGATAAACTGCCAGGGAATTGCACACCAGAATTGGTGAGCATAAAAGAAGGATAAACAAACCACCAAGGAAAGCAGAAGAATATCAAACGCTGGTCAATGACTCAACAATGGCGGTACATGCCTTAGACACGGGACATAGAATAGATCTGGAGAATGTGGGTTTTAAGACGGGGACTGCGATTCATACCACAGTGGCTGAGAGCCGAGGCGGTGGAAATTATTAAGCATCACAGCGTGAATAGAATCGAGGGTGTGGAACTGGTGAGCGGATGGAAAGCAATCAACTATCTTAGCACTAGCTCATCCACGCAGACGGACAGAAGGTTCAAACGAAGTTCAAGAGGGACCATCAAACGAACCGACTCAGACCTAGACCCCAGGCTGGACCCAAACACATGTAGGTTTCACCATCGACCCAACACTTTTTCACCCACCCTAACACACAAAAATCCCTCGGCCGACACCCAACAGAGATTTAGCTTGACTTAGCTGATTGGTTCTCCTTCCGCCCTGAGTCTCGACCAACCTCAGAACTTAGTCATTTGGCCTGACGAAGCTTTTGTGTCAAAAGCGAAACGTTGCCCAGCAATAAATCTACCGATTGTCACCAAATTTTTTCGAAAGCACTGGTTAGCAATCAGCTTCCACAATTTGGTCCTGAAGAACTTTCATTGGGCGGCTACCAACTCAAGCATCATGTGACTGGGGAACAGGTTGGCATCATCCCGAATGAGCATTTCAAGTGGAAAGATTTACAGGTAGTACATTGGAGAGAAGACCACACACCTACTTTATTTACTTCCAATAGGGAAGGTGAAGAAGTTTTCTAGCAGCCCAATCAGGCGACGCTTGGCAACATGCCAGCAGCCCACATGCAACATTCCTTGTGGGACAATGTAAGGCTTGTATAACCCTCAAGTGAACACTCCGCTAAGGAAATGACATTTTAAAAGTTCATCGAATTTAATGTATCGATTGAATCTGGTTGAGCGGCTGCGGTTTGAGGGTCAGTACGTGCACTGTCCTTCGATACATAGTCCAATCACACTGCGGTATAAACACCCGCTGAAATGGTGCATTTGTCCTATAAACATTAACAGTTTGGAAAGTTAGCCTGCCACTGCAATACCGTAGAACTCTTAAGAAATTCGGAAACATCAACAAATGCCGTTTTGAACGCCCAAATCGTGTAGTGTGGGTCATATGGGTAGCTGCAAACTATCCGGAGGTCATTTTCAGCAACCGGTTCCGCACATGCTTGATTTCCAAACATGAATGCCAAGCGTCCAGATCTGAAAGTTTGTCTCATAGGAACCTTAAAGTGTTTCGCGTAGGCTTGCACTGTGTCCACCTTCGCTGGTTCGTTTTTAGTCCTCAAAGATAGCTGAAATTGTTATATTTGCTTGCATGGAAGTGAAGCGCAAATGTGGCGACCAGCATTTACGATCACGTGATCAAGTAGAACATAATGTTGATGGAAACTCGGGGACTGTGCCTACATCTGATGAGCCCCAAGAAGAGCGAAACCGGTCGTGGGCTGTCGAAGAGTTCTCAGCAACCTTGTGAGTGGTTTCCTTCATGACCAAAGATACACTTTCATAGGTACTCAAACTTCGGTAACAGGCTAAAAGATAACTAAGTGGTGTTCGCATCGGTTGGGTTGCTACTCTCGAAACGGTATATCTCAGCAATGAAGGAAGAGGAAAAGCCAATTGAATGCACAGACCGACAGATTAACAAAATACACGTGTTGAAGCCAGTGAGCGACCACCACCTGTTGTCTAGTAAAGTCAAAAGGGCGCAAATTAGCTTGGTGTAACGTCACTGCCACTTTTGTCTATTGGAAATAGTGAATTTTATCATGTCCATTCACATACTCAAGACACCTTTGACAAAGACAGTCTTTCTGAGAGAAACAGAAGGAAAATAGCGGGAGTTACAAAAAAACACCGGGAAAGTTGATTGTTTATCCGCTCCGATGTTTTCTGTAACTTCTGGGAATTTTCTATAGTTATCATCATCATCGTCATCATCATTGTCAGCTGTAATAACCGCGTACTTGTCGTACAGTGGTTGTAGCTGCCGCAGTTTCGTTCACCGTTGATTTGGGGGGGGAGGGGGAGGTAGCTGCGCATTGCAGGCGGGAGCTGATAAATTGTTGCGTAAATCCAGCACTGTCAGGGGACTGACAAGTGGGGGGAATGGGAAAGGAGTTATGCATTGAAGGAAATAGCTTGAATGCCTGAGTGCCACTGATGGCGCGACTGAGCCATACCTGACAACTTCTCAACATTGGTGTGGCCCGTCTCGGGGTCCCCATCCAGGAAGACGGCAGTGACCAGTGCAGCTGAGTTTGCTGGTAGTGGCGGTCAAAATAATTAGTAGTGGATAGCGAGACTGGTCGGAATGCAATGTGAAAGTGTCAAGTGAAGACAATGAGGGGATTCTGCAGTTTCAAGTAAGGATTTCACCCGTAAACGAAACCACTTTACAGTAAAATGCCGTGAACTGCCGTTCTTTTTGAGAGTCATCAAAGCTCAGGCGATCGAAATCCCTATGGATTCAGGTGGTGGCAGCTACAGTAACGGAGTATTCTTGTTTTGAAGTAGTTCCCCTGATGTATGAAGCTTCGCTGATCTTCAGACGACTAAAGTTGCCCTGGATAAACCTGATTAACTTTATTGTCGGCATGACGCTGCACAAGGATTTCCGACACACAATGGTTTCACGTCACTCGTCTGACCAAGTCTGACGTTGAATCTCCAGAATAGAAGAGGACCAAATGTAGGCTCACTGTGTGAGTGATTTCTAATTAACCCGAGACTTCAGTACTTTGTTGTTGGGGAACCACTGACGGTACTTATGGTCGTTCGTTATGTTGAAACTAGATGGTGGTTCTCTACGGGCCTGTACGAGTCTGCTACTCCCTGTCTTAGTGGAATCAGCGACTTGAAAACAGCATCACACTGGGCTCCGACGAAAGCACTTGTGGTTTGATCGCTGTACGGGAATAATCTCAGCTATTTTGCTTCGGCTACCATTTCAGAATGAGCCCTCAGCTCCAGAGGACTCAGGGGGTCACCAAAGATTGTAAGCAAATTACGGGGAGGGGGGGGGACTCACTCAGATGTTTGCGGGTGCTCAGTAAAAATACGCAACATAAATTCCGCCTCTTCATTTGGCTGGAAAGTGGATGGAATAATCGCATACCGCCCAGGTGGGAGTTTGTGTCGTCCACAAACTTCACGCAGGTTGATAAAAGCCGGTGACCGCGCTTTGGATGCGTTGTATTTGAAAAAGTTCATGTCCAAAGTCCCGCTGTGAGATTCTGGCAACTGGGAATAAGGAGAAAGGGGTTGGGGCGTAAACTACGTTATATGGGAAATCCACGGCGTTTTCTAACCTAAACTTTGTGCTTGTGGTTTTCTTACTATGTTACTAACGGCATCGCACCACAAATAAGATACTTAGGCATCAGTCCTTATAATTAACCGCATACTACTAACACATGGTAAAGTGAACTTTATAGGTGCCACTGAGAACAAACATCAACATGTAAAAATATTCAGGTGCCTTGCTACTACTAACGGATACTACTGAAGATTGAAATCACTCTGACGGCTACACTAAAAAATATTGACAAACGTCACAGGCCAACTATTGAGGAATGTTGTTCATATTCCCACCACTCTCATTTGAACGGTCGTCCTGCTGTTCTGGCGTAATTATTCTGGTGAGTCCACACCAAAGGGTAGCACTGGACTCGAGTTTCACCCATATTAAAGTTCATCAGCAGTGCATATCCAATGGATTTGGACTCCGGACAGCGAGGCGAGCGTGTTACCGTTACTCCACCAGCGCCAGTTGGGCGCATCTGAATTTTGACGTCTAAACAGGCGAATGTGTTCACACTTAGGCCCGATCCATCGAACGACGACCTAGTAAGTGAGACATGGTCAGTAAATCATGACCTGACGGTAGACAAGTCACCGGGTGAGGTGGAGGGTTGAAAGCAACCGCATATAGAACAATGGAGATAAGCAGGCTCGTTATGACTGACATAACAAACATGTGATTAGCCGTTCACTAACACGAGCGCCACCTGATGCACGTAATACAATATTATACCGGACGTTGACAGATTACCGATCGACCGTTTTGGTTTTTACACTTGTACAAAATACCGGCAAGAATGTGCGAATCGTTACAATTGCACAACGCACGTGCTATTATTTAGGTAACAGTGGAACCTCCAGAACCAAGAGGTCGACCAAAAAGAGAGCGACTAGTCTGAATATACACTGATAAAAGCTGACTTACACTATAACCTGCCCGAGTTCATTTTTTTCATGAATCCCGTGGCTAAATGCCCCGGTGTTCAAACACCTTTATGGTAGGGTGCGAGTTCGAATCGATGGAGGAAGTGTAGCGATACCCGAAAAACACCGCGGCCAATAACATACAAATGATAGTACCTCTTGGAACTTTCAGTAGTTCACCATTTAGTCTTTCTACCTCCCAGGTAACGCGGCTTATCAGAGTGACCAAATGCGAAATCAGCTAAATTAGAAAAAGAACGGTAAAGCTAAGCTCATAATGAGGTCGTGACCAGCAGGTATCAGACAACCTCTCCGAATTGGAGGCTAAAATGGTTCAGGAGGCAACAACTGTTCAGTGAGTAAGCGGGACTCAGTTAAAACCGCCTAAATAGCGCAGAAGACTAACGATAAATACGCACAACAAAAGGCTTGCACATGGAGCTTCAGACCAATCAGCCTGCAGGAACATCTACCCAGGTTCCCCACCCAAGTCGTTGCCAAATCAAGGAAAAGTGAGAATGGATTGTACCGCGGTACCAAACCCAGATGCCATATAAACCACCGTATGTAAAGCCAGAATATTGACTTAATAGACGTCTGTGCATTTGACTGGTCTCTTGCTAAAGTTTGACGAAAGCATGTACCTGTTACCCAAACTTCAACAGCAGATGTACTTAACGTCCTTATTCCTGAAACCAAGGCATACACAGAGTGGATAGACGGAGGGAGGCTGCCAGTATACATATGGCCATTTAGTCCTCCAATCGAAAGTCCATGCTCTGGACTGTTGGAGTGAAAAATTCAGCTGGTCATCATTTGAGTAAGATTAGCGGGTGATCTCACCTGACTCGAACCACTACCTTTGAGAGAACATTCAGATAAGCCACTACTGAATTAAATCCGGTTAGGCACTGTATCATTTCAGCTCACAGTAAAATTGCTGAACTCTGCCCGGCGAGTTGCATAAGGTTCAGCGATTCCCGCATTCTGACCATCTTTTTGTGAACTTACGGATATGAATTACGGCGCTCAGAATGTTGAACCGTTTCCAAGCTAATTCGCACATTCTCACCCAACATTCGTGGTCGAAGGGAAAAAGCCTTCGGTCGTTTGAGTGTGTCAAAGTAACGCTCAATTTACTTGAAGCCATAAACGCCTGATCAGCCGATTCAGTCCGAAAAGCTTAACAAAGAGAACTCTACTTTTCCACGGTATGCTGCTTTTTCTGTTGTGAGGAATAACAGGATGGCCTAGTTCTTTCACATACACACTTCCTCTCACACCTTCAACCGATGCCTCAGAAGCGTAGCCGGTTTTAGATGACGTCAGGGTGCTACTAACGAGGTGATTAGAAAACGAGTATTTGGTTGTGCTGCAGGTACTTCAATCCGGGAAAACATTCAGGTTCATTGACTACGATCGCTCGGTCATATGCTACGCATGCCGAAACACCATCTACCGAAAAGAATGTTGCTCTCCGTACCTCCATCAGGATGGCGCAAAACGCGAGGTGGACAGCACACGACTTGGTAGAAGGGTGTGAAAGAGATCACCAAGAGTTTGGGGTTTTATGCCTTCCAGAATGGGATCCCCGTGACTCCGTCTATGCTTGGTTGGAGACGTTGCAAGAAATAGCGGCTAATCCAGGGTGCTACTAGGTGATTAGAAAACGAGTATTTGGTTGTGCTGCAGGTACTTCAATCCGGGAAAACATTCAGGTTCATTGACTACGATCGCTCGGTCATATGCTACGCATGCCGAAACACCATCTACCGAAAAGAATGTTGCTCTCCGTACCTCCATCAGGATGGCGCAAAACGCGAGGTGGACAGCACACGACTTGGTAGAAGGGTGTGAAAGAGATCACCAAGAGTTTGGGGTTTTATGCCTTCCAGAATGGGATCCCCGTGACTCCGTCTATGCTTGGTTGGAGACGTTGCAAGAAATAGCGGCTAATCGATGACCGTGGTGTTGGTGCTGTCAGTGTCTTTCCAGATTGCCTGATTAAGTGTTTGGAGGTGTACACAGCTCAGAATGCTTGACATAGGCCAGCACTAGGTCCCCTCCCCCATCCACTCTTTTTATCTTCTTTTCACCCTAAGACTTTTAATATATGATGATGACTGAGGTATTTTCAAGATTTCATTTTCCGAGAAAACTAACTGCCACCTTTTATCACGTGCTCTTGCTACAGGATGTTAGTAAAGTTAAAATAGGACAGGTTTCTTCATCCAAATGGTGTGAACACTAAACGTCCCCAGGCCTAACGCCATCGCCCAAACGCGTGAACTTCATTCATGGCTGACAAACCAGTATGGGAATTGTGAAATGACTGGATCAAGTGAAGAAATTCTTACCGCGTAGATCGCATAGCCTATGGTTAACAGATCCTCGCCTTGTTTGCGCAGCTTTCGTCGATGTTTCTGCATTAGTCCAACAATCATAGTGCCTTCGTTGACATCATCGTCCTCGTCCGGATCCACCAGGTTGACGCTAAATTGTGGATTGATCCAAAATGTTTCTGAGGAAACAGATAAATTCCAGAAAAGACCACTGTAAACGTTAAGAAGAATACATATTTATACACGATATATCAGTGGATTTATAAGATAAGGACACATAGGGTCGTCACGGTCTTGAGGATTATCCACGAAGAGGAAGAGCACACCAAACAAAAGACGTAGTCAACCAATAGAAGAGAAAAATTGGATCGTGATGCAATACAACCTAATGAAAGGTGAATCACATAATAGAAAGAAAACTGAAGAAAACAAACGGTACTTGACTGGTCTGTAAGCTCAAAAGGAGATGAGATACAACCCAACACTACCGCTAACCAATCGCATTAGGAAATCTCAACTATTCTTTAAGTAAGGGCGTACCCAAATGTTAACCAATGACGTTAACTCAAAACGTTTGCGATCCAACTGCCAAGCTTGGTGATCAGACCAACAACCAGCCGGCCAATAAACGCACCCGGGATACTGGTGTTCCGATGCACTGCAAGTGGCGGTCGATCACGGCGTCGGTCACGCGAGTTAAATTTAACTTATTTTTTGAGGTAGAACTATCTACGTGTTTAGGTGTTAAAATGGAGTAGTAACCCAGCACACTGGTCGAAGTTATCCTTCAGTTCTGTCCAGACGAGCAGCGAAGTCGAACGGTAAACACCCTTGAACTGAGTGAATTGAGGTAATAAACTCCGGTGGGTGTTGGCAATATCTAGCGATAAACGTCGAGAACCATGGCTCAGGAATCGTGATCTGTCTGTTGATTCGTTACTTGATGTATGCAATACAGACGGTACTTTCAGTCACACGATAAACTAACTTTAATAATGGAAAGCGTAATATTCGTTCGGCTGTGACACCCTTTTGGTGTCTACCCGCTACGTCATTGGAAGGAAGCAGGATGGATGAGATACTGCGAGTTGCCCAAGCCTAGATAGGGACGGCTGAGATGCTTGAGATGGAGTTTTCTGGTCAGTAGGTTCGCATCCTAACCACTGATTTATCTGAAGCTCAGTGTCTTTGACTGAAACATTTGGATAGTTTTCTACCCAGTGTATGTTATATGGACAGATGACAAGGGTTAAAATAGCTAGCTTCATCTACCTGCTCGGTGTTCATCAAAGTATATTCTACAGGCAGTTGATGAGTCGGCTCGATTGGTCTATATTCTGGTGGATATTTAGATTGCCGTCAGAGAGGAAGAGAGAAAGCCGGAAATGACAACTCAAAATTCAAGTTTCTACGAAATGTATCCGAAATTTATGGTGGCCGGACACGTAATCGATGTACATATAGTTATCAGATTGAATCCTGAACATCAGGTTACTAAAGCAAGTGCTCTCAGGAAGTTTCAGCTACACAAACGCATGTCAGTTCATAGGAATAAAAGGATTCGATCACTTGGCATCTACAGTTTTGAAACTTTGTCTTCCCAACAAACTCAGGAAGCTTAAAAGGAACGATTTGTGAAGGCCGAAAAGAAAACTCACTGAGGACCACATTATTCGCTTTCCCAGATCCCCTAAGACCTCTACCGCCCAGACAACCACCTAGGCTAAACCGCAAAGACCGAAAAAGCATCAGTCTCTGATTCGCATGGCAGTTCTGAGTTTATTTCAGCATTTCAAATTCGACAACGTTGGTGAACTTGTCCAGTGTCTTGTGGAATGAACAAATTTAACAGCAAAGCTCCTATTTTTCTTACAGCTGCAAGGAAGTCCTCATCCCTGAATTACAGTCCAGCACATCCAAAATGCTGTGCAATTTCCCCGGGGAAACATTCACCCGCTACACGAGGAAAAGTGAAAGAAAAGCTTGACTAAAATGATGGGATGTCCAAGTGGGGTCAAGGAGTAAGCCAGCCATCTTCTCACCAAAATACATATTGTAAGCACACCAAATAGTGTCAGCCAGGTCAAACGTATTTGAAGAACTAACTCGCGTCTGCTCAAAGGTTAATGATGACAAGATATTCCAGTTTGTCAAAGCAATTGCTGTTGGCGACCGGAAAACAGATCAAAATAAATGCAGACAAGTCACCTCATTAGTAGGATTAAAAAGACACTTTCTAGGTTGCACTTTCGAGTAGCGTGTACTTGTAGTAAAGTACGTCCGGTCTATCGTGCAACACAATACGCCTCTAAGACGATCACTGAAGAGACTAGTGCTAGGGGCCGGTCGAATATGTTCTCTTCAAAGTTTTAAAAGCTGTGGAAGATATTGCAATCTTCAGGTTCACCATAAATCCATCCATATTCCTATCTGAGGTTTGCTTTCCTAAGGAGTAAGAACTCAAAATGTCTTGTGAAGACAGATTTACCTTAGCTACCATTAGTAAAATAGTGAAAACTCATCCTAAGGGGACCAGCACTAATGTTTGAAGGGAGCGATACGTAGCAGTCACCGTTGAGTGGTTTCTGTGGACAGGAATCCGTGCGAAATTGGGTGCTTTATTTCTGTCTGCATTGATCCAATCCTACCCAACTAGGGACACTTTACCGCATTCACTCTAAGCAAAAGTATGCCTCGAGGTATTGATTGTTTTTAGCTCTGTAATGGAGCCGGAGTGATAAACCTCAACTACTCAGAGTTTACAGAAAGAATAACTTGTTGATTGTTATGGCCACAAAATAGAAAGCGCTATGCAAATGGGATACATATAATCGTTAAAGCGACAATTTGAGGCGAGGAAGCTGTAGACCTCTTCAATTTGGCCCAATTTGGTCCGCCGTATTCGGACAGCAAACTGAGTCAGCATCTAGGCATAGTAAGCTGCCGTAGTACATCTGGTTCCAGCCAACATAAGAAAGGTGGTTCCTATCCACGACCACACAACCCATCATACAAAATCGAAGATCGGTGACACGCAATGTAACTGATGGCGAATCACGTCCCAAAGATAAGTCACGCAACTGGAACACTGCATATTTCCCAAGTATGTCGGTCGGGATATGGCAACCGAAAGTGCCCAAATCTAGGACGTGCCTACCAGGGAACCGCTCAAACCTCACTTCTCATATAACCCAAAAACCTTTGAATCTGCTGGCTGTGCAACCGGGTCACCACCATTACGGGGCTTCTGTTGCTCAGTATGGGTTCACCAGTGGTTTCGGTAAGCAAGCAGACCTTCGATTCCCACCAAATGAACTCACGGTTTGGTTCCGCCTGCAGACTGGATACCAGCTGTGCCAAGACCGGATTTTAGAGATGCGCGATTTGATTACAAATTGATTGGTCACGTTTTGCCACTCTCATATGACACTCACGAGCAATCCTTATGGTCATTAGCCCACACGAAGGAAGGATAAGTGAGCTATCGGACTCAAGAAACAGAGATTGTCCGGTTCAATATTACCCAGACTGATTGACGGTTCTCTTCATGCAAGGTAGGGGAGTCAAAATTCCGGCGCAAACAGTGGAGTTCCGTGGGTCATGTGTCAAGTGGAATCTCGCCTCTGCTACTTCACTGTCAAGTTCTATAGGCCAAAATGTTTTTGCAAGCAACAGCAGAATTCGTTGGTCTCCGGAGCACGGAAAGTTTGTGTATTCCCGTTTGTGGACACGTTTCACCATCAGCTGATTCGGGCGGAAATCACACCGTACAGTTCCGGACAGATTCTCAAAAGACCGGCACATGAGATACATCAGGCGAGTTAAAATGTGTGGGAACCTCAATGTGAACAGGACCGATCCGGATTAGCTGCATGGCCGTGAGATCCGTAGACTGGCCGAATATCAGGATAGTCTCTGATCTGTCCAAATGACGTTAAATGACCGTATCAGTTGAAGTCTGTTGCTGGAGTGTGTTGTGCAAAACGGTGTTTCTTTACCCACTTGCTTTTCGTGCCAGCCGGAGTGACTCTAGCTACTCTGCAGTCCCATCAAAGTTTGAACGGCAGCATAACCATTATCGGTGATTCGATCTTTCTCAGTGAGGATGACTAAAAATAGTATGTAGCGAACCTTTCATAACAATGCCACAAAACACCAATTTGAGCACTGAAATGAGACGAATGTTTGTCAAGATGTTTTGCTGCTCTCTCTCCTAGTTGTATTCCTACAAAAGCCCTCTTACCGAGAAAATTGCGACATCCACCGGCTGAAACGCGTGGGATCCAGCTTCCATGTTCGATACACATTTCCCACTTCCGTCCAGGGAGCTCTCCGGCGCCACCCAAAGATTGAGGCCCCAAGTGGCATATTTCTAACTTTTCAAAGTTTGAGATAAAGTCTTTATAGGACATCCTGTAAGAAAAAACGGAGAAATATGAAGGGGAAGTATGTTGGCACTTATTGGTCGACAGGTTTACTGCATCACCTAGCCAACTATCAAAAGAAGGGGTAGACCAGTCATGGACAGGTTGAGTTGTAAGCAGAATGGGAATGGAGGGGCTGGGGGCGTGTTTCGTCCCGGTGGAGGACAGGAGTGACAGAATTCCAGTGGGATGCGATTGTTAGATCATACCAAAAAATAAAACCATCATCAGCTAAAAGGTGCCGTCACCCGAGTCCAGCCAAAACCGACAGAGGCAAAGAAACAGGTGACAAATGTATGGAAAAACTGTAAAGAAATACGTCTGTTACTGTTGATATCATTGGTTCTCCAAGATGAGTTCACATGGTCCGGCTATAACCTGTTACCATCGGCCGATCAGAGTGACGTTTTTTCGTCAAGCCCTATTCAGGTTATCTGACTGAATTACTGAAATCTGAACTACTTTGGGATTCGTACCAGGGATCAGATATAAGCCCACGCTCATTTCATCACAGGGGTTCGGCGGTGAAACACCCCAGTTCATTCGTCAGAATGACGATGTTGATGAGAACACGAACCTTAGCAGAAGGCTAGCATGGCAGTTCGAGGAAGTTGCTTAACAGTGGTCGTACTTTCCTTCCAAAAACAGTTCGCAGGAAAAGATTACTGGATCTCACTCTTTAGGTAAATAGTACTGAACAAGTTGTAAAGTACACCACGCCTAGACGTAATACACTACTCACAAAGCTACTGAGAACATGACAGCCCACTACCGGTCTCGCTTTCTTCAGA